GGCACAAGACTGGGGTACTTGTGTCAGGAGGTGTGAACTTGGATCTAGACTACGAGCCTATGTTGGAGGCGCTATTTAGCGTCGGTGAGCCGGCAAAAGAACTGAAAGGAACCACAACCCCCGCCGGACACTCGAATTGGGAACGCCGAGTATTTTGTATACCTTCCTGAAAAAACGCGAAAAGCAAGTGGCCACGGTTCAGTTGCCGTAGAGAAGAAGCCGGGAGGATGGAAGCAGAAACTGTGGAAGAGAGACAAGTTGGAGCTGCTGCTGTTTGGGATTCCAAGGGACATGGCGAGGATAGAGTTCGACAACTGTTGTGACAGGGAGGGACTGCACTGCCTAGCTAGGGGACAAGTAGGCAGAGAGCATTAACACTTCCGGGTTGATATCGAGACAGCCAAGCGTGCTTGGGGGTTGATATCGAGAAGCTGTCGAACTACGTAAGGAAGTTTGGATGGAGGGTTGGCATCGCGAACATGATAGAAACAGAGGAGGTAAGGAGACAAGAGGCGAGGGCGACGGAGGCGAAGAAAGGACCGAGCAGGGCAGTCGAGCAAGCAAGTCAGAAGAAGTCCGAGAAGAAGCGGAAGGCGAACGATAGAGTGGGCGAAATCTCCAATAGGGAAAAGCACAAGCTGCGAGTCGGGTCGTGGAACGTGTGCGGGTTCGCAAGGAGTGAGCGCAAGCGGTTGGAAATAGTGGACCAAGTAGAACAAAGCGATCTAGATGTAGTGGGGATCCAAGAGACGTGGGAATTGAAGGATGGTGACGTGGTAAGCAAACTAGGGAAATACCGGTGGGTAGGGAAGGCAAGAAAGGGCTTAGACCCGAAGAAAAGGGGGGAGGGGGGAGTCGGATTCCTGGTCAAGGAACACTTGTTTGACGTAGTGGAAGTAGTGGTGAAAACAGAGTTCCTATGGCTTAAGATACTTGGGGAGCGGGGTGAGCAAGATTTATTTCTAGGGAACGTATACGTCCCACAGTCGTCGAAGAAAGTCGCAAGCAAGGCGCAGGAGAACTTTGGACAAATTGGGGAAGATGTCCAGAGGTTCAGTAGGAAGGGAGAAGTTGTCATGGTGGGCGATTTCAACTCCAGAGTAGGGAAAGCTTCCAGTAGAGGACAGACGATCACGCAGCACGGAGAAGACAAAGTGAATGACAACGGAGTGAGGATGCTTGAATTCTTGGGAAGCAACGAACTGATGGTGTTGAACGGTAGGAGGAAATGCGATAAGCCGGGGCTCACCAGACAACGGGCAGTTTGCAATGAATACTCAATCCTCGACAACATCCTGGTAG